GTTTTTACGCTGTGTTGCTATGGTTTCAGCTGAAATAACGGCGGTTAACCGTTGGTTTTTAAAATAAACGCGGTTAACCGACGGTTTTCGAGTGATTTACGCAACATGGGTTGGTATCGATATTCTATTGGATGGGATAGAATTCTGTCTAAATTCTGTTGGCATTCTTGAATTCAAAGCAGAATTTCGGTTAATGGGACGGAGCGGTCAAGGTGTTAATCAGGGCTCTGCATATCAATTTAGGTTTCTATAACTGAGGCGAATCATTAGTATGCTCCGTTACCGAGCACCTGACCACATGTGATGTCTTCTACATCAATTTCAGGCATGGCTTTATCTGACGCCAAAATGAGCGGATGATCACTGGAATGTCGTTGACTCGTCACATGGTTTCTTGCGCAGCGCTCGCAAAGATCATAGTCCGCACAAATGTCACACTTGAATCGAAGACCGCTGAAGCCTTTTCCATGGCACCCATCACACGCATGCGCATGTGTGTCATCTTTGAACAGATTGGACATTCCGCTTAACGTTAAAACGTCATTTCGCACTGATCACCCAAATATCACGTTGGGTATTTTGAAATGGACAACTAGATGTCCAGATGCGTGCTGTTTCGTCTGACATCGACGTTCAAAACATGGACCACACAATCATAATTTTCTGAACACTCCAAGCAATGATAGCGCTCTTTGCGCAAAGGTGAGATATGACAAGCAGCGCATTGTTCATGATGAAGATATTCGACGACACCAGGATCTTCCATATCCACAATTCGTTGAAAGGCTTTCAAGAAATTCTCGCGACGAGTTTTCTCGTCTCGATTGGTATTTCCTTTGCAAAATTAAACGCACTTTAAGAGGTTTGAAAATATTTTAGTATAAACTTTGTGGGTGTGCACTGTACAAAAACGTTCTTTCCAAAGCGAAGAAAGAATTTCAGCAAAACGCAACATAGATCGAACCCTTTTTCCGACTCTGTAAAGGGTTCTTTCTTCGCCGAAACAGATCATATAGGTGTGCGTAGAGGTGTAAGCAGCTCGGCTGTGTCGCCACTGTCGCGGCTTTTCTCTAAAAGTCGGCGGCAACTGCCGCCGAAAGTGGCAAAAATCTGTTGAAGGCACCAAACGCCGCTGTCGGGATGCAGAAATCGATAATTTAAATCTAAGATGCTTTTGTTCTCAAACTTAGTTTTCGTAAAAGGCTTTAACGAAGTTTCTGTTCGGTGTTTTCTCAACTATTTTTTTTCTTCATTTCTCTCTATTTTTTCAAGTTTTTCAATTTTTTACTGAAAGTTTCAGACGAAAGAACTGTGATATGTAAAACAATCATTTCGAGGAGGTCTTCTTATATAGTGAATATTTTTAAACAAAATGTTGAAACCTCTCTCAATTGGAAATTCCCATCAAGTGGACACTTTAAAAAGACGTCTAGGTGTCCATTTGAGAAACATTATGCTGTACCTTGGTCATTTCCGCCGTTGAACTCATGCTTGTTGCGTTTAGGTCGGTCTACACGAGCATTGTGTTCGTCTAAACATCGATACAAAAAAGTTGTTCTAATCACGAGCTTTACTACAAATTACCGCCTGCTATCATGGACCCGTGTCGAACTCGGCTTGTTTCTTCTTCCTCATCATTATCTGTCATGTCACAGATTCGTTGAAAAGCATCACGAAAACGCTGCTGACGTCCCATATTATTCAAGTCTCGATCTAAAGAATATTAGATAATATCCTTGATTATGAAGATTACAACTACTTCTTGTGTGATTAGAATCGATAAGATAAGATTGAGTAGGTGAAGAATTTCCCGAATCGCTCATATTCACAATTCGTTGAAACTCGGCAAGAAATCGTTGTCGACGCTCGTCCTCATTGCCTACAGCAAAATCATGTCACATCCAGCATAGCTGTCCTTATTGTATTACATTACAGTTCTAAATGTAAATTTATCTTTTCTTTCCGAAACAGGGTCTCTATAGTATGTCAACCAATCCATACCCAAAATGAAATTAGCCGCCAATGCATCCACGATCATCGCTCGAACATGGGTCTTCATGCCATTGATTTTTACCATCAGATCCACCCATCCGTATCTCCGCAATGTTGTTTTTCCGTCTCCTAACGTGATGTTGCCGGCGTGTCCATGAATTTGTCCGTGAGGAAGTGTGTTCAATGTTGATCTTGTTATTATTGATGTGGTAGCTCCCGTATCCTCCATTGCTCTGACATTTCGGCCATGAATTCTCGTATTGAGGAGAATTAACGATGATGGATAATTTTTTTTGGAGGCACGACCATCATATGTCCCCACTAATAGTTTTTTGACGATTGCTGCCAACAGTCGCGCGCGAAATGCTCGGGTTTATTACAATTATAACATCGTGGAGGTTGATAATATGGTGATGAATTGAATGAAGATCGTGAAGGGCGCGATGAATATTTGCCGATATCATTAGTATAATGCTGGTGAAAACGTACCGATTTTTGCGTGAGAGGCGATGATGGAAAATAAGTAGCGGATGTATCGTTAAGATTCTCACCGATGCGGATGTCTCTGCTTAGTGATACATTTACCAGTTGTTCCAATACTTCCTCCTGTTTAGCTACTTTTAAAAATTCTTTGGGTGTTGTGGGTGCATGGCGGAACACTTCTTTCATGAGTGACGATTTTAATCCATGGAATAAATGATCGACTTTCGATGCATTGGTCATGTTGGGATCAACGGTTCTACATAATTTGAGTATGTCGGTGTAATATTCAATGACTGATTCCGGGGAACGCTGCTGACGATTGCGAAGACGTTGTGATGCGAATTGCTGAGCTGCTGGTGATGAGTATGTGTTTAAAAATTCTTTTACGAATAATGACCATGAAGTAAGGGTCTCCTTATTGGCAATAAACCAGTCCTTTGCGGCAGCATCCAAAAACGTGATAATTATTTTTAATGCTTGATTTCAGCCATATGTAAGACTGAAGTTAAATGTTTCAACCATTCGATGGCATTGTCATCAGTTGTACCGCAAAATTTCGGGACTTGTTCTACTGCTTTGGAGATGATTGTTGCAACGGTCTTTTCCGCCATTATGCAGGATGGTAATTGATATACTGGTCGATGAACGATGTGGTTTAGATCTTGTGCTAGATGATCAGTGTGCTCAAATTCAATATTGGTTAATCGGACAAACTCTTCCTGATTTAGTTTTAAAACACCTTGTCTTGTTAACATATAATCGTACGAGGATCAGCATCGAAGCTGGTGCTTGGGTTATTTGGATGACTTGTACTTACTGTGACGTATTGACAGTAAGCCGGCTAGTGCACCAATTGTTAGGTTCCATCTAACTTGTTTTAATCTTTACTTGTATGTACAAATGGTTTATTGGTAAATCAAAAAAGCACACCCTAACACATGAAGTACAGTCGTATATATACGAGAAGAAAGTCGTACCATACAAAGATAAGAATATCGGACCATATCAGAATGTTACACAATGAGGAGAATATCATACCATATAAGAATGTTAGAAACGTGAGGACAAACGTGAAGAGGTTTCTTCTATATAACAGTAGTCACGTTTTAGGTCTCATGACCTAACAACAGCTGTCATTAATCTACTCGACTGGCCAGCTGTTGCCCTTCCTGTGACGTTTGCAGACAAGGAAACAGATGTCAACGACGCGACATACAAGGGCATTAGTCCACTGGACACGGAAATACACAATGATTATGATGCCGATATTTACCATGGAGCTCCCGTATCTGTACAAGTTATTGGCAGACGATTACAAGAAGAATATGTCATTGGACTGGCTGAACAGATTGGAGTTGCTTTGTCTCTGTAGTATTATACATCCTAGATAAAACAAGTTTAACAGCAGAAGACAATTTCATTTTCATTTATTTGTAAACACTAGCACTTTCGATGTCTAAGACATTATCTTCAGGTGAAAATAACATAATCTCATCTAAAATTACACTACAGAAAAACCCAGACATTAGCATCATGATCTTGACAGCTTTTGTATCATTCTGATTTCTTTTTCTTTTTCTTTGAATTTGGAAACTGACAGCCATGAACCTGACCATATAGTCTCTCTAAGATATAATCATGATATAGCTAAAATCTTCCAATTCTCCCAATTCATTCGATGTTTTTTCTCACGTTCGTGAACTGAGATTGCCGATTTTAAATCGCAATGTTGTTCAAAATTTCTGTTTTAGTTTATTTCTTATAGAGAGTAGTTAAAAATGTTAAGATTATTGTCGTAGTGTATAATTTGGTTGAAAATATTTTTCTAATTTTGTTGTTGTGCCCTCCTTTAGATCGAAATTTCCTTCTGTTCCACTTTCAAACGGTATTCGAACGTTACCATAATGCTTTTTACCGTTACTGTGATTTTGTATTGAGAATTGCACCGTTTCATGAATTTGAAATGTCTCCTATCGTCTCTCATCTTCCCTTTATATTGTTTCATAATCAACCTGTCGTCATTATGCTTTAAACTAGATTAGATTATGAATCGTTTGCTCCAAAAAACAGATTTCATTTTGCGACTAAAAACATTCGTTCATCATCATCATCATTCGGCTGCGAACAGTCTGGGTTTGCAGGCGACAATAATCTTAGACCAATTCTCTCTGTTGGCGGCAGCTTTTCTCATTTCGTCGACCGATGGCTGAGTATCGTTGTTGATC